TGTTCACCTAACAAGGGTCTTAAGGAAGGCATCATATCCTGGCAGAGGAGGTTTGCAGGGACCTGCTAGAGCTTGGTTTGCATCCCACATCCTGGTGCTGGCTCCCAGCCTTATTAATGGCATTGCAGGAGTGCTCAGGGGACCAGAACAGAATCAGCATCCCAGCCTGGTTTGGGTTGGAAGGGACCTTAAAGCTCCTCCAGCTCCAACCCCTGCCACGGGCAGGGACCCCTTCCACTGGAGCAGCTTGCTCCAAGCCCCTGTGTCCAACCTGGCCTTGAACACTGCCAGGGATGGGGCAGCCACAGCTTCTCTGGGCACCCTGTGCCAGCGCCTCAGCACCCTCACAGGGAAGAGCTTCTGCCTAAGAGCTCAGCTCAGTCTCCCCTCGGGCAGGTTCAAGCCATTCCCCTTGGCCTGGTCCTATAGGCCCTTGTCCCAAGCCCCTCTCCAGCTTTCCTGCAGCCCCTTCAGGCACTGGAGCTGCTCTCAGGTCTCCCCTTCACACAGCAGAGGGGCAGGATCCCCTCCCTGAGCTGCTGCTCACGCTCTGGGGGTGCAGCCCAGCACACGGGGGGTTCTGGGCTCAAGCGCACACTGAAGCCGGGTCATGGGGAGCTTCTCCTCACCCAGCACCCCAAGTCCTTCTCCAACATGATGACCGGTCCCGCAGTCCACCCATGGATGAGGCTGTGCAGAGCAGTTCACAGCCCAGGTGAACGGCTGACCGGTGATATCTTTCCAAACTAATCCCATTTCCAAATGCAGAGATGGTGGCAAATCCCCATCATGAAGGACACGTGCCAAGGACCTTCCAACATGGGCATCAAATGGCCACCACCTGCATTCATGCACTTGGGCTTGTACTTGTGCTCCTTCCCCAATGGTGGTGGCCATCTGGCTTCCAATGCACTGGCTCCAGTTTGGATGAGTAAAGGATGCTAAAGAAGGATCAAACCTTTATGTGTGGGCAGGGTCAGAGCTGGAGCAGCGTCTGGATGAAGCACACATGGTGAGCAGGCTCTCTCCTTGCCCTGAAAACCACAGGTCACGCGAAGAGAGGCTGCTGCTCACGCAAGGGAAGCTTCAAAGCAAATGGAAAACATCTCCTTTTCCTGGAAATCCCGATGGATGGAAGGCAGGACACTGCCCCATCACGGGCACAGGGACCTGCTTCTGGCATCCCTATGCTCCCAGCGCTGTCCTGGGGCTCTGCTCCCATCCCTTGGTGTGTTCCCAGGGCATTCCCTGGCATGAGGGACCCCGTTTTGCCCCGGGTTGGACATGGGGACCCCTGGTTGCCACATCCCCTTAGCACCAGCAGAGGACTCTGCTGCAGCAGGGTTCAGCCTATGCAGCTGAAGGGTTTCCCTATCGAGCATCAGCGCAGGATGAGCTTTGCGCTATGGGGACCACAACCACGGTCTTCCATGCATCTTCTACCCCTCTCCAAGGTCTCCCTGTGGTCATCCCCCTGGCTGGGATCTCAACTGGAAACCCCCAACCCCTTTCTTTACAGTTCAAGGGTGGGATCTTGGTGGTTTGGGGGCTCCTTCACATTATGGAGTGTGGGGGGAACCTGGAAACGGGGCTGCATCCAATGGGGCTGCAAAACCCACCCAGTCAAGATGTGTTCTGGGGGAGCTGCTTCAGTGCATCCCGTGGATGCCTCCAGCACCAAGCTGAGACCTTGCAGCTCATCTCCAGGGTGATGAGCCCCAACCAGGCAGCTGGGAGGGTCTGAATTGATGCTGTTGTATAAATAAGGATGCTTTGGGGTGCAGAGGGCTGGTTTGGATGCTTCCCATGCCAATGGGGAGGAAGGCACAAGGCAGGGCTGAGGCACGAGGGCTTAAACCCTTCTCCTCTCCTGAAGTGTGGGAAGGATGCTTTGTGGGCATGAATGTGCTTCTGTACGTGTGGATGTCTGCATTCCCGGTGGGACCGCTTCCCCAAAACACATACCGAGGTGCTGGTGTTTATCCAGTGCTTAAAACTGCAGGGATTTGGGGAGAAGCCAAAAAAAGAAAAGGCTATTTTCAACTTTCTGTCTTTCCCCAGCATTTATTTGCCAAAGAGTCTGCAAATATTGGTATTAAACCCATGGAAGCCTTGAAATAAACTCCTCTCAAAGCTGAGTGACTGGTGTGTCCCTTCCAACACCCACTGGTTTGGCTGCTTCCAAAGCAAATGCTGCCTTGGCCCATGCATTTGGGGAATTTCTGCTATAATATGATTAAAGTATGGGATTTGGGAATCTCCTCCCTTTGTTTGAGCGCAATGTCGGTCTCCTGGTTGATTTTGGGGTACCATCTTTCACCTTTCCTTGCTCATCATTGATGGGGTGATGGACAGCTTCCCAAGCCATCCCCAGGCTAGAGCGGGGGGGGGGGGGGGGGGGGAAGTGGTTGTGGTTTCTCTGTTGTCTAATATAAAGGTTGAGCTGTTGAGAGAGGGTCCTTTGGCTCTTTATCCTTTCAGTGGTGAGCTGTTTTCTATGAAACTCAATAGGGGAAAGCCATTATCCCTCTATTAAACTGTCCAAGTAGATCAGAAATGACCTGGAGGAGCAGACAGATTTGCTCTATAGAAAATCAAGCCTCAGGGAGGAAAACCAGAAGAAAAAAGAAGCCAGGACTCACTGCTTGAAAAAGAAGTGGACCTTTGGGCTACAACAGCCCCATGCAACGCTCCAGGCTTGGGGAATTGTGGCTGGAAACTGTTCATGGAAAAGGCCCTGGGGGTGCTGATGGATGGAGCTGAACGTGAGCAGCTTGTGCCCAGGGAGCCCCCAGCATCCTGGCCTGGATCAGCACCAGGGCGGCAGCAGGGCCAGGGCAGAGCAATGGAGCTGGTGCAGGGCCTGGAGCCCAGGTGTGATGGGGAAGGGCTGAGGGACCTGGGGGGTTCAGTGTGGAGAAGAGAAGGCTCAGGGGGGACCTGATGGCTGCCTACAAGTGCCTGAGAGGAGGATGGAGCCAGGAGGGGCTGGGCTCTGCTCCCAAGGAACAAGGGATGGGACAAGAGGAACCGGCCTCAAGCTGCACCAGGGCAGGTTTAGATGGAGCTGAGGAACAATTCCTGCCCCAGAGGGTGCTCAGGCATTGGAACAGGCTGCCCAGGGCAGGGCTGCAGGCACCGGCCCTGCAAGGGTTCACACCCCATGGAGACGAGGCCTCAGTGCCATGGGGCAGTGGTGGCCTTGGCAGCGCTGAGAATTTGGACTGGATGAGCTTAAAGCTCTTTCCCAACCTCACTGATTCAAGGATTCTATTCAAGCATCTTCCAGCAACAACATCCACTGCCTTCCTCTGCCAGATCAGGGGTCTGCTTCCTAGAAAGGCACGGTCTGGAAGGCAAAGCCTGGACTTGGATGCTGGGAAGCTCTAACACCAGTGTGCCTCCCTCCAGCCCACGTGGCAGATCCGTTTGCTTGGCAGGAAACCATCAATCTCAGAATTGTCTCTTCCTTCTCCCAGTGCCAAGAGATATTTAGAGTAAGAGGGTTTGGGGTTTTTCTTGTCTGTTTGTTTGTTCCCCCGCAGTAAATGCCCAAGCCCTGCATCCCCCGTCAATGGGTATTGCTCTTGCTTCCTCATCATTCTTGGGCTCGAGTGACTCACACAAGTCAGCGCTGCCACGGAGGAGTCATTGCAAAGGAAAAGGTTGGATGTCACCCACGAGCTAACGCTGCTCACATGCGAGTCCTGCGTCCTCATGGTGCTCACCCCGGGGAGGGGCTCCAAAACCTGGGCTGAACATCAAGAGGGGTTTTCAGGCAGTGTAATTTAGGATGTCTAATTCAGGAATGTGGGGGCTTGCAGCTATTCCTTTGGCTTCAGCTTTGCGTTTTGGCAACCGTAACGGCTAGAAAGTGCTTTAATAGGGAAAGCAAAGAGGAGCTTTCATCAGTGGTGCAGGGACCGTGAAGCGCTTCTGTCACACACCACAGGGCGATGGGCAGTGACTGTGTCTGCATCTTAAAGGTATGGCTGGGAACGTGCAGTTCTGGTGTTCCCAACATAAGAAGGACATGGAGCTGTTGGAGTGAGGCCAGGGTAGCTCATGAGGATGCTCAGGGGCTGGAGCAGCTCCTGTATGGAGCCAGGCTGAGAACACTGGGGTTGTTCAGTCTGGAGAAGAGAAGCTGTGTGGAGACCTCAGAGCAGCTTCCAGTGTGTGAAGGGGGCTGCAAGGATGCTGGGGAGGGACTCTTCATCAGGGACTGCAGTGATAGGACAAGGGGTGATGGCTTCAAACTGAAACAGGGGAAGTTCAGGTTGGAGATAAGGAAGAAGCTCTTCCCTGTGAGGGTGCTGAGGTGCTGGAATGGGTTGCCCAGGGAGGTTGTGAATGCTCCATCCCTGGCAGTGTTCAAGTCCAGGTTGGACACAGGGGCTTGGAGCAAGCTGCTCCAGTGGAAGGGGTCCCTGCCCGTGGCAGAGGTTGGAGCTGGATGGGCTTTAAGGTCCCTTCCAACACAAACCACTCTGTGACTCTATGTGATCAGGGGTAAACTGGCTGCAGAAATCAGCTTCAGGATGACAGGGAAGCAGTTTGAGCTGTGGACAGCTGCATCCAGAGCTTGAAACCCATCTATGCCATTCCACAACCCAGTGTCCACCCGCAGCATCCCCTTTTCGTCACATCTCAATGGGGCTGCCTGAGGAGTTCTCATAGTAGAAATAAATTTATTTCCTACAAGAAATCTGAGGTGTTTGCACGTTACAAAAATAAAAATGTACAGTCAGTGTCCCAAACCCCACCTTTCTCTTTAGTATAAGTTAGTGCTTTTACAGACAAACAAACAATATATGTACATTTCCAGCTGGTACCTCTCCCACCACTCTGCATCTGAACAGTGCCACCAGCTTGTGCAGGATCGGGATCACACAGGGACCCCCTTGATGGGCCTGCAGTGAACTCTGTGCTCGTTGTAGTTGAGTTATTCAGAGCACGTAACTTGGTGTTCATGCTGCTTTTTGGCATGTGGAGGCCTGGAGTAGTTTGTACCAGCTCAGAGCTTCAGTTGCATTCATTTCTCCCTATCATATCTCACCTCTGTGACTTTGCCGTGATCCTTCCCATAAAGATCCCTTCACAGGCACAGGGAATAAAAGGCGCTGCCACAGTGCAAGCCCTATCTTAACGCAACCCCATCCTCTCGAAGATGGGATGAATCACACCACAAATGTCCCATTTTACTTTGCTGATGTGCCCAGAGCTGAGATAATCCCTTCCTTTGCCTCCTGTGGTTGGGACAGTGTTGGTTGGGACGGGAGCCCTCCATAGGACCACGTCTCCAGCAAGCCGGGACCACAGGAACCTCCCCATTAACCCTCAATGGTCCCAATCACCCTGGTTTGAACTCCGGTCGCGTTGCGGTGTCTCTTTATCTTCACCAAACCACTTCACAAGATGGCAGAGGCTTAAGAAGAGGTCTGAGGAATGGGTCTAACCCAGGATCAAAGGTTTGCCTGAGCCTAAAATAGACCCAGGGCTGCTCTTACAAGAAGCAGAACAAGCAGTTTCCAGTTCTGGGGTGAGGAATCAGCATCCTCGTGGCAAGGCTGGGCAAGGAACCCATGGAGCTGGGCAGGGGGGCTGGAACTGCATGATCTCAAGGTCCTTTCCAACCCTAACTATCCTATGATTCGATGATAATTATAGAGAGAAAGACCAATTGGACCTTCTGCTGAAGTGTTTTACGGGTATTTTCTCCCTTTTACTTTGATGATGGGGGAAGCAAGGTCAAATCCAGACAGGACTGGGCTTAAGCTTAGCACCATGCTTATTGGCATGGCTCCTAAACCCAGGGAAGGTCAACACTGTCAGTAAGGGATATGCTGACTGGCTCCAGCGGAGCACTGGGATTATGGGGAGGACAGACAGCGGCATCTGGGCAGCATTTTGGGTCCCACCAAGCTGCTAAAGGTCACAGAGGGCTGTCACCTCCAGCAATAAGGATATGTCAGCATCAGCCAAGGGGGTGACCATCGGTCTTTGTTTCTTTGCTGGAAACATGAGTCAGTAGTAAGGGGGTTAAAAACAAGGCATGAAGAGCTCACCCTACTCTTTATGAGCTGGAGATGATTATTAAAGTCAGCAGCTAAAAGGAAGCTGTGGGCCCCTAAAAGCTTTTCAAGGGTGGATGTCGCTGTTGGGAAGCACTAATGGGTCTTTGGGAAGATGTTGACCCCACTGGAGAAACCTACAAGGGACCTGCTTGATGCTACCAGTAAGCTCCAGTGGGATGGAAGGTCCAGCAGCACCCTTTGCAATGGGAAGCCAGCCCTTGGCCAGGAACTAGGAGTGCCCTCCCTGCTCTGCCAGCAGATACCAAAGCTTGAAGCTGAGAAAGCATCTTTCCAGGGGCACGAAGCTGTGAGAGACCCGTTCCCATTGCATTTGCGCTCGACTTTTTCATGGACCTGTTTAGCAGAACCTCAGCTGAGTCCTTTCATCAACCGAAAGCCTTTGCTCCTTTGCCAAGGCACAGACTCCCTGCTGCCTCCGTGCCAGGGAACCTGGAGAAAGGCAGACGGGTTTCTTCGGGGGGACCTTTTGCACACAGCTTTTCTGCTTTAGAAAATGACCTAAAGCATTCAGGAAGTGATTATCTTGGAGCAGATTCGGCCACCGTGACAGAGGTCACCCAGCCTCACTGGTGGAGAGATGCTATTCAGTGTTGGCCACAAAGGCAGGCTTGGAGGAAGAGGGTGATATGGGGTTTGTGTGTGCGACCACAGCAGCATCTTCCTGAAAGAATACATTTGGAAGAGCAACAAGCAGAGGAGTGTGTTTAAACACAGACCATGCTGAAGTGTGTCAAAGCCAAGGCACCACAACCATCAAAAGCCTTGGGCCCTGAACTTCCCTTCACCTGGGATGAACCCTTCTGCCGTGGAGATGGTGCTGGTTCTGCTGGAGCAGAGCTAGGATTTCACATCCTTGGACAACGTGTCCGTGTCATTGCTGTTTTCCAGGTGACTGTTGGGCACGATGCCCAATGCCATCTCGTGCGGAGGCTTCCCTGGCATCTTGCTGCTGGCGAACTTCATGAATCGTTGTCCTGCTAAGAAATACAATATAGGGTCCAAGCAGCTATTGGTGCTAGCGAGGGGACGAGTCAACTTGTAGGCTAAATTGATGGCATTGAGGGTCTGACAGCTCAAGTCCCAGCTCCGGAAGGAGTAGTATAAGGTACGAGTGACATGGAAAGGAAGAAAACAAACGATGAAGACCATCAAGACAATAACTATCATCTTGACCGACTTCTTCTTGGATCGGGATAAACGGGACATCCCCCGTGTGGGCTGCAGCAGCCTCCGCGCCATGAGGCAGTAGCAGATGATGATGATGAGGAAAGGGATGCAGAAGAGCAGCACCAGCATCACCGAACTGTAAATGACAAACTGGCCAAAGAGGTCTTTGCTGGACGTGTCATGGCACGTGACGGTGTCACGCTTCACGCTGGTGGTGACGAAGAAGAGCACGGGTGACTGGCACACGACAGTCACGACCCACACGATGACTGACACCCTCCGGGCGTAGCGGACGTGGCCCCACTGCAGTGACTTCAGTGGGAAGCAGATGCCCAGGAAGCGATGGATGCTGATGCAGAGGAGGAAGAGGATGCTGCAGTAGAGGTTGGTGTAAAACAAGAAGCGGACTATCTTACACAAGCCCACGCTGAAGGGCCAGTTGTCCCCCATGGCATAATAGTACACCAAAAGGGGCAAGGAGACCACATAGAGTGTGTCAGATATGGCCAGGTTAAACATGTATGTGGTGGAGGCGTTCCAGGTCTTGATCCTGAAGATGAAGAGGTAGAGGGACAGCAGGTTGAGGAAGAGCCCCACCACGCACACGATGCCGTAGGAGACGGGCAGCAGGACGTACTTGAAGTCCTCATCAAATATGCACTTGTAGACGTTGTCATCTGCAACACTTGGGTCCAAGGAGCCGTTGATGAGACTGGTCCAGGCTGAAGGAGTTGTTAGGTCCGCCATCGCCCTGCGGGGGAACAAAGAGGCTGTAAGGACATAGAATCATGGAATCACAGAATCAGCCAGGTTGGAAAAGCCCTTTAAGCTCATCCAGTCCAACCATTCCCAGCCCTGCCAAGGCCACCACTGCCCCATGGCACTGAGGCCTCGTCTCCATGGGGTGTGAACACTTGCAGGGCCGGTGACTGTAGCCCTGCCCTGGGCAGCCTGTTCCAATGCCTGAGCACCCTTTGGGGCAGGAATTGTTCCTAATATCCAGTCTAAACCTGGAGGTAAGGAGGTGAGGACATGGAGGTAAAGAGCCCATAGAGGAGGTGGGTTACATTAGAAAACCCCAGCACCACCATACTGCAGTACATTGAGTGGTCCATGCTGCCCTTATTACTATATACTATTACTATACCCTTCCCTTCTTCTCCTGTAAAGGTGGCCGTCAACACTTGGCTGTGTCTATCCACAAGCTACCTGCAAGCATGTCTGGCAGACAGTGCCATCTCAGTGCAGGTGACAATGACTCAAGAGGTGGCAGTGCCTCCTGCCAGCATACCACATGCCCATGAACACCATGGCCTCATTGCCCTGGATGTTGACACAACCGAGGTAGCCCCTTGCATGGAGGACTTACGGTTGAGCAGATAAAGGGAGTTTTATTTATCCTCATTTTGCATCTGGAGCACAGGTGAATCATAGAGTCACAGAATGGTTTGGGTTGGAAAGGACCTTAAGATCAGTTCCAACCCCCTGCCATGGGCAGGGATGCCTCACACTAAACCATGGCACCCAAGGCTCCGGCCTTGAACACTGCCAGGGATGGAGCATTTACCACTCTCCAGCATCCTTGCAGCCCCCTTCACACACTGGAAGCTGCTCTGAGGTCTCCACGCAGCTTCTCTTCTCCAGGCTCAACAGCCCCAATGTTCTCAGCCTGGCTGTACCAAAAGAAGTGTGCTCTCCACCACATGGGCTCTGCCTGGCTTGGCTGTCGATGATGATGATGATGATGATGGGGTTTTTACTGCTGGGCTGATGGTGGCCACCTCGCTAGTTCTGCTTCCTGGCCTTGAGACGTGCTCTACAGCATGCCCACCACCGGTAAGCCTGTCCATGCTTGTGCAAAGCTTCTGCATGGAAATGCCAATTGAGACAAGCCAAATGGACTCAAAAAGAGTCTCTGCAGACACACAGAGCCCGGCAGTGTCTGCCAGCAGGGACAAGGGCCCTTTTGTGCACTGGGGACAGCCCATGACACATGATCTGAGCTCAGCAAACCCATCAGCCAGGAATCAAATTAAAGGGCATTTGCCTCCCTTCCTGTCAAAGGAGCTGGTTTGGTGTCACTGCTGTTCCCTGTCCCAGGGAGCCCATGGGAATGCGGTTACAGGGATGAATCCAGTGCATGAGCTTGGAGAGCGGGACCTACTGCAGGAGAAAAGGTTTGACTAAAGGGATGAGTGTGGAGGATGTGCCCTGACTCAAATCCCACCACGATTTTAGGTGGAAAAGAGCAATATCAGCCTTCTCAGCTACATAGTGCAGCTCTAACCTGGTGCCCCGATGCTGAGGGATGCCATGGGCATGCCCTTTCCTGCTAACAAGCAGCATTTCGACCCAGAGCTATCCCAAAGCTACCTCCAATTCAGGTCCTGCAGGGAAGAAGGCAGTGAGGGTTTCCTAGGAGCTGCCAACCGGGATGATCTCTCATTGAACAGAAGCACTATGGCATTAAAAAGCACCTTGAACAACTCATAGCTGATGGAGAAGGGGTGGAGCGATGCCTCCAGCCCATCACATTGGGATAACTCCAGCCCTTGCCCCAAGGACTGGACCAGAAAACCTATCCAGATGTGTCATGGAAACGATCCCTGATGATGCTGCCCCCATTTGGCTGCTCTTCCCCTTGGAGCAGACCACAGGCAGCGCTGGCTTCCCAAGGACGTGGGTAGAAACCACACGCACGCTCAGGCCCTGACTAATCCACAGCATCTGCAAAGCCCAAACACATCTTTAGGAACCTCTCTGGGGTGAACATGAGGAGCCAGGAGCTGATCTTGCTCTGTCCTGGCCCAGGGTTTTGCTTTTCCTGCACTCAGTTCAGCTTTGGTTCCGTCACCCTTCATCCCGCTTCCATCAATTCCTCAGCAATGGGGTTGTCCCTGTTGATGGAGGGGGTTGATGGTGCTGGGGCAGGAAACCCTTTCCAGCTGCTTTCCTCCTCAGTTTCTTCCTTCCCTTGGAGCTTTGCAGACCTGTGGTCAACGAGACAGAGGTTGCCACAGACTTGGCAGATGATGAAACAGGTCATGCAGGCCACAGTGACCAAGAGAAGCCACACAAGATGCCCTAAAGGGTGCAGGGAAGTTACGGAGCTCCAGTCTTCAGCCTTGCATGTGGCTTATCCACGCCTTTGCATTTGCATTCCCCCTATCCTCTGCAGACAACCCATCACCCAGCTCCGAAGCACCGACGGGGGCAAGATCACGCCATCGTCCAGCCCACCAGCAGCCCCAGCTAGAAACCCCAACAAGGCATTTGAAACCCATCCATAAGGGATGGGGAACATCGTTCCAGCGTTCAGGGTAGACCAGGTCATGCTGTGACCACCGATGTGCCAAGATGCACCTCTCCATCTGCAGGACAAGGAGCAAACAGGGCTAATTGCAGAGCAAACAGGGTGATTACAGTGACAACCCCCCCTCACAAAGCAGCCTTGTCCTTGTTGTGCTCTCCCTCCTTTTCCTCCTGGAAATGCCAAAGCCTTTCTTTCTTTTTAGCCTTTTTTCCCCTATTTTTGCCTGGAATCCCTGGACAAAACCTGCTGTGTCTGTCGGGGTGGCTGCAATCCACCCCCTTCACCCGTCACTGCTGCATCTGCAATGAGTGAGCTGCAGAGGACACGGCCAAGGCACGTGAAGGCACAAGAGCTGGCAGCTGCCCTCGCCTCTGCCTACGGGCTGGGTGGCACAAACGCAGCTCTTACAGTGATGCATGAGCATCAACGAGGGGAGGGAGGGAGCAAGAGTGATCCGAGCAGAGAAATCCCTCTGTGACTATCAAAAGCCAACCAGCCACGATGCTTCGGTGAGGACCACCTGCATCTGCTGCACCAGATAACCTGGACATTGCCCTGCCCAGCTTCCTCCATGCTGGACCATGTGCTGGGTCTGGATGAACCTGTCTGCATCAGTTGCACTATCTCTCTCCAGCATGGCCTTGAGCCTGTTTATCCCATAGGACATGGGGTTTTTTCCCCAGAAAACAGGTACCATCAGCTGTAGTAGATGAAGGCAGCGTGGGAGAGGAGCCCTGCAATGAGAGGAGACTAGCAGGTCAGTGCTGTAATCACAGCAGCCACATGGCCTCAAATATATATACCCACAGGCATGTGCATGTGATGCCAGCATCCCTAAACAGCTCCTGGGAATATTTAGATGAGTCAATATGAAGAAGGAGGGGGCTGTCATCAGAGAAGGTCCCGGGCAGCTGAGGGATGGGTAGCACCTACGGCCAGCACAGGGGGATCATGTGTTGGACACTGAATCTCCAAGTAAAGAGCTTTAATCCTGGTTTCTGCCCCACTTCTCAATGTTCCTGGTGCCATCCCAGTGGTCAGCATTGATCCGTGGTGGTTTCTGCTCGGGAGCCTGCTAACGAAGTCATGAAAGCAAAGTGCAACCATATCACAACTGCCATGAATATGCTTTTTCTTTGGGGGGGGGTGGGGTGTCTGATGAGATTTAATTGACCTTCCCCAATAATTAATGGGGATTAGAATAATAGAATCCTAGAATCCCAGCCTGGTTTGTGCTGAAGGGACCTTAAAGCTCACCCAGCTCCAACCCCTGCCACGGGCAGGGACCCCTTCCATAGAGCAGCTTGCTCCAAGCCCCTGTGTCCAACCTGGCCTTGAACACTGCCAGGGATGGGGCAGCCACAGCTTCTCTGGGCACCCTGTGCCAGCGCCTCAGCACCCTCACAGGGAAGAGCTTCTGCCTTATCTCCAACCTGAACTTCCCCTGTTTCAGTTTGAACCCATCACCCCTTGTCCTATCACTCCAGTCCCTAATGAAGAGTCCCTCCCCAGCATCCTTGCAGCCCCCTTCACACACTGGAAGCTGCTCTGAGGTCTCCACGCAGCTTCTCTTCTCCAGGCTCAACAGCCCCAATGTTCTCAGCCTGGCTCCATACAGGAGCTGCTCCAGCCCCTGAGCATCCTCGTGGCCTCCTCTGGACTCGCTCCAACAGCTCCATGTCCTTCTGATGCTGAGGACACCAGAGGGATGGATGAATTCACCAGTAGGACCTCACAGACTCAGCCCTTTGTCCTGTCAGTGTGAAGCGCTGGGAAATCAAACCCATGCTCCAACTGCAATCACAGCTCCCATCATTGCACCCTGGAGGTCAAAACCACCATCCAGTGCCTGCATCTTCCTCATCGGCTCCTTCACAACAGTCACAGTGGGAGGGTGGGTGTTCTCCCTGCCCTAATTTATAGGCTTTCCGTAGACTCATCCAAATCCTCCCTCCGGATCCGGAACTACCGGAGGCGCTGGGAAGCAAACCCCTGGCATCATTTTCCTCTCCTTTGGGATCGTGGTTGAAACCCTCCACAACCCAAAGCAAACAGGCGGCGCGTCCGGATGCTGCTGAGCCCGTCTGCTTGGGAGACGTGAGATGGGACCAGGCTGACATTTGAGCCTGGCCAAAGAGCTTGGGTTTCAGCTGCCCTTTTCATTTGGCTCCTTTCTGCCACCTCGACCTTCAGTGTCTTTGTCCTCCAGGCTGGCTCTGGCCACCAGCGTGGGCTGAGGACATGCCCAGTGTCCTGGTCCCACCATCCCCATCAGCCTTCAATGATCCCAAGGCAGAATACATCCGCTATGCATTTCCAAGATACCCAAAAAGCAAGTTTTAAGCACCGTAAGGTGCTTCACCCATTTCCCCACCTAGGATCCCAGACAATATCCCTATTTCATCCCCTATGGGTCTGACCTCTTCCCCGTCCCCAAAATAACCAGAAACCCTCATTCCTCCCAAAATAAGCTTGTAAATAATCTGTGTTTTCCTTTTTTTCCCCACAAAAGCACCTTGGAGGTGCAGAAATGGAGCAGCTCCATAAAGCAGCCCCGTGCCTCAGTTTCTCCTCCTGCCCCCAGGCTGAGAAGCAGCAGAGCTGAGTTTTTCCCCATTTAAAGGCATTTTTATGGGAGATTTTCAGTTTCTTAAAGGGTTTTCAGGGGCTTGATCCAGGCTCAAAGAGGGACATGGAGTCTGGAGAAGAGAGAGAACGACTGAGAGAGAACTCTGTGACTGTTTGGAGGTCAAACGAAACGTTTCACTTCGAGCCAAATGGCTTTTTCCTTGGAATTTCTGGTTTTCCCCCAAGAAACTCCCTGGATTCCTCCCTGATTCAACCCCGCTTTGACCCTTTGCTTCCCAACTGGTACCGAAACCTCCTGCCTTTATCCACACCATGGGAGTCGATCCAGATTAACCAAAACTGTGGCTTTAAAGCCAACGAGAGAAGAGCATTAAAGCCATCGGTGCTCACACGTAACTAAAGCTGCCTTCATTGGGTTGAACCTGACTTGATTCCCAGCACGTCCAGTCTCTGGGGATGAATCCTACTGGAAGTAAATAACACCCTGGCCAATATTTAATCCCTTCATTAACATTTCCCTTCTTGCTACGGCAAAGGTGATGTTCCCTGTGTGCTTTCCCCTGCATCGCCTTCAGCATCCCATGGGCTTGGGGACAGATCCTATTTGATGCCCTAAACTTTGATTTCATTTATTGCAGGGGGAATTGCTCACATCCTTTAGGCTTCCCAGAGATAGAAAGGGGCCCTGCGCTGCTTTTGATACCAAGAATTGGACTCTGGTTTCACCCTCCATGACTTTCTGGTGCTCACCAGAGGAAGCAATGGTCAGACTGAAAGAACAACATGGGACCGGTTTCTGGTCGATCACCCACTTTTGGTAACTATTTTACCCTATAAACCCCATATCTGGGAGAATTAACATTTCCACAGAGACCTATCAGCCTCCTGCCTGGACCAAGGGAGTCACCCACCAACACCACCATCCGCCCAGCAAAACCAAACCCATCAGGGGGATGATAACCACCATCCGAGACTGGGGATAATGCAATTATCGGGCTCCACCACTGCACCAGCAGTTACTGGGAAGCCGAAGCAGCACCAAACCCCATAAAACCCCATGAAGGATGTGCTTTGGGGGATGATGTGCGGGGATAATCCTCCATAAGGAGCACCCCATGGGAGCAAAAGGGTCTTTGCTTCATGGACCGGTTGCTTTTAAGGCTTTAACAGGGGACAGTGCATTAGGAAGGGATGGCATGGCTGGCAGCACGCTCCGCTGCCAGCAAACTATTCATGGCTTTGGCTTTATGTCAATAACCAGAGATAAAAATCACACTGGGCAGAGACAGGGGAAAGGCACTCGGTGCCAGGACAGTTAAAGATCCTTTTGGGGGGTTTATAACCCACAAAATCCCAAGGTACAGCCACACTCCGGCACCCAGAAGTCTATTTAGGGCCTCCCCCTTTGCATTGGTGCTCTGCATCCCACCAGCTGAAGGCCGACGCTCCCTTTGCTGGGGTATAAATGAGGAAGAGGAGCTCGGGGTACTAACAAAAGGCCCTAATTTTGGTAGCAACAAGCCTTGTGCCAGGGGCACCGTCCCACAGGAGCGGGGTTGGCTGCTCCCTGCCCCGTGCACAGGAAGGCAGCGGGTTGCCAAAGGGGTTTTGCAATAAGCTGATAAGAAGAAGTGGAGCAGAAAGAGAAAGGAGATGTTTTGCCCTTAAAGCTGCTCCTGGGTGATGCCACCCAGCACGCAGCTACGGGGAAGAAGGTGGGTTTGGGGTTAGGAGCTATTAAAAGGAGTCAAAGGGTTTGAAGCCAGCGTCTCCCTGATCCCGGTGAGAGTTAAAGCACTGAATAGGTTACACAGGGACCCCAGCATGCAAAGAGGTGGAGAAACACAAGCAGGAGTAAAGCAGGGAGCCAGCTCCAGGGTGTGTACAGGAACCCCCTGACCCCCAGCCAGCGAATTCCCCCGGGAAGGGAGAAACCGAGCGGCAAAAGAGATTCTTGGGGGTTAATGCACCAGGAAAAAGAGGAGCCCGGGAGACTTCCTTGGGTGCTCCAAGTCAGCTGCAGCCCAGGCGGGGGGCTCGCTGCCCGATGCTGCCCCGAACACCCCGGTTTTGGGGCACTTTGGGGGCAGTTTTGGTGTCCCCCCCATCCGTGAGCACAGGGATGCGCTCCCACACCCGCACCCCGGGTCCCGTCCCAGTGTCAGGTCCTGCCCCGCACCCCCAAACCCCCCGGTACCCCCCGGTTCCCCCCCCCCCCGCTCACCTCGCGGCTCCCGGCCCGGCCGGTCCGTGCCGATGGCTCCGCTCAGGCTGGCGGCGGAGGCAGCGCCATGGCCCGGGGCTCGGTCCCACGGGTCCCGCTGCTGCCCCCCGGGGCCGAGGCCACCGCGTGTGAGCCGGGCAGAGGGACTGGGGCCGGGCGTGGGGCGGCACCGCCCGCCCCGGGGCCGGGAACGGGGGCAGGACCCGGACAGCACCGCCCTGAGCGGGGTTGGGAACGGGGCTGGGTCCGCCCCATCCCGGCCCTCCAGGGATGGGACTGGGACAGGAATCCCGCTTCGGGGACGCGGCCGTGGATGGGATCAGGGCTGGGAATGAGGCCAGGATCAGGACACGAGCCCTACCGCTCTCCACTTGTCTCCACACCCCGCCCCGGGAATGGGACCACGGATGAGAGCGGGGTTAGGGCTAGGACGGGAGGCTCCCGTCCAAGGATGGAAGCACGGGAAGGATTGGGGCAGAAGGCTGCCTCCAAGGGTGGAAACAGGGGTGGGATCAGGACAGGAGCGCCCTTTCCGAGGATGGGAATATGGGTAGGAGCAGGGCAAGAGCACCTCTTATGGAGATGGTACCATGGATGGGATGAGGACTGGGAACAGGCCTGGATCCTGCCCACCCAGCACTGAGGTCAGTCACCCCCCGCTGCATCCAACTGCCCCCCATCCAGGGACCCCAGAGAGCTGCATCCACCCAGAATCACCATGGAGACCCTTCCCTGCATCCCAGGGGTGCTGGTACCGGAGCTCACCCTTGTGGCAGAGCCCACAGGCCCTTACCGGGAGCATGGAGCAGCCACGTAGGGGCAAGGGGGTCCCAGGATCATCCCTGGAGGGGCAGAAGTGCCTCTGAACCAGGTGGATGAGCCCAGCTTGGGGCCCTGCCACGGCCACCCTGATGTGGGCACTGTCCCACCATGGGTGGCACCAAGCTGTGCCCCATGGAGCTCAGGGAAGGGACCAATGCACCTCAAGCGATGCCCCACAGCCCATCCCTTATCACAGGGGTTCATTTCCAAGGGAAGCAGAGGGATGTGGGGCACGAGATGGTAAAGGGACCTTGAGGACAATTTTGGCCAGGTTCAGCCTTATGACCCCTGTGGTGCTGTCTCCTGGGCTGAAAGACCTTTGGGTCTGGGGATAGGGGCTGGAGGGTTTCTGGGGTTGGAACTGGATGATCTTAAGGTCCTTTCCAACCCAAACCATTCTGTGATTCTATCATTCTATGGGGCTGAAGAACAAGCCCCATGTGCAGGTGGCCCAGTTGTTTTCCACTACCCTAAGCACAGAGCTCCCCTGTGTATTCCCCATCTGTGTCCATGGGCTCAAGCCAGATCCTCCTACTCCAGCAGCCGGATCTGATTTCACCCAGGAGCTCCTTTGGCCTCCTGGATATGGACCATAAAGCCCCAGGGAGGAGAGGAAGGGCACTGATGTCGTCTATTACTCAAAAGCAGCCAGCTAAGGAGGCATTAGCTGGTGCAAAGAGGATATGGACATCTGGCACGGAAACTGCTGCAGAGGACTCGGTGGCGTGGTCCTTCATGCCAGAAAACAACAACAAAAATGCCTGCTTCCTTCTTCTGAAGTCATTTGTTTGAGGAGGCAAAACAATACATCACCCCACAGCTACGTGGGGCTGATAAGGGAGGAAGGAGAAGCTTGGTGCTTGCCCAGAGGGAGGCAGATGCCTGGGCAGAGCAGGGAGGCTGAGGGCGATGAAGCTGCCAAGCAGTGTCCCACTGGGATGGCAGCGTGGTGCCAAGTTAAGCCAGTTCCTTTGGGGTTTGGAAACACTTCTAGGGCAAAGAATGGGGTTAAGCAGACCCTGGTTTCACTGTCCAGATCCTTCACCCCTGCTTCCTCTGAAAGAGGGGTGATGGGCAGAGGTGATGCATGGAGATGTGGATGGTGGAATGGCTTTAACCTGCCCGAGGGGAGACTGAGCTGAGCTCTTAGGCAGAAGCTCTTCCCTGGGAGGGTGCTGAGGCGCTGGCACAGGGTGCCCAGAGAAGCTGTGGCTGCCCCATCCCTGGCAGTGCTCAAGGCCAGGTTGGACACAGGGGCTTGGAGCAAGCTGCTCTATGGAAGGGGTCCCTGCCCATGGCAGGGGTTGGAGCTGGAGGAGCTTTAAGCTCCCTTCAACCCAAACCAGTCTGGGATTCCATGATTCCATGCCCAGGGGTTCGTTGCCTGCCCAGCGTTACATAGGGTCACAGAACGGTTTGGGACAACGGGACCTTAAACCTGATCCAGTTCCAACCCCTGCCACGGGCAGGGACCCCTTCCATAGAGCAGCTTGCTCCAAGCCCCTGTGTCCAACCTGGCCTTGAACACTGCCAGGGATGGGGCAGCCACAGCTTCTCTGGGCACCCTGTGCCAGCGCCTCAGCACCCTCACAGGGAAGAGCTTCTGCCTTATCTCCAACCTGAACTTCCCCTGTTTCAGTCTGAACCCATCACCCCTTGTCCTATCACTGCAGTCCCTGATGAAGAGTCCCTCCCCAGCACCCTTGTAGCCCCCTTCAGACCCTGGGAGCTGCTCTGGCGTTGGTCACCCATTGCCCAGGAGACCCAAAGTGCCTCCTTCCCCTAAACCCTCCATTCCCCAGCTCCCAGGCAGCCCCAACAAGCGGCAGATGCTTTAAATCCAGTTGAGAGGAGCACGGGGGGAGGCAGCGGCGGTACCCGCTGGAGCGGAGCTGGAAACCAGCCCCGTGTTTCCTTTCTCAGCTTCATTCTTCAGCTGTTTTGGCAGCGCTGCACGTTTCTAAGACGCTTCCAAAACATTTCCCTGTTGCCTGGCAGGGAGGAACGGAGACAGCGGGGAGGAATGCGGGATAGGAACCGGGAAGGTCAGGGTGGCCGATAGCGGAGCCCAGCACTGCATCCACGGGTGCAGCTTAAATCCGTGGTACAGGAGGGGACCCCAGCAGCAGCGCTCGGGACGAGCTGGGATGTATCACATCCCTTTTCCTTGCTTCCTTTTAAAGCTGTTGTGGAAGCAAGGAGGAAAGCCGGCGGGATGTGTTGGGTTGAGCCCTCCGAGCTGCTTCGTGTTGGTGGGAGAGGAAAGGGTTAGGAATGCTCATCTAAACCTATGGAAGAGCAAAATGATGCCCTGGCCCAGGGGCATGGGTGTTCGGTCACTTCTCGGGGTCGCTTGGCTGGGGAGGTGCTCAGCCACTTGAACGGGAGGAAGAAATATGCCCTGTGTGACCAGGCATGCAGGAGGGACGTGCCACGGGAGGAGAAACGTGCCACGGGAGAAGGAGGGACATCCCGCAGGAGAAGGAGGGACATCCCACAGGAGAAGGAGGGACATCCCGCAGAAGGAATGCCATGCCATGGGAGCAGGTCTGATACTGCAGCTTCCCAGAGGGGCTGCAATTTCCCTCCAGGATGCTCTAACTCAGGACTATCAGCAGCTTTGAAGGATATATGAAAGTCATCAAAAAGCCCAATCCAGCTGGAGGATGAAGCATCTCTTCATGGAGGTGGATGCCAACAGGGTGGGCAAGGGATGAGGTCAGGTAGGGTTGGTACCCACTGGGTGCTTTGGAGACATGGGAGGATCTTCCCAGCAGTCAAACAAGCTCCAAAGCAGGGCTGATCAGAGAGAGACAGAATCCCAGCCTGGTTTGAGTTGAAGGGACCTTAAAGCCCATCCAGCCCCATCCCCTGCAACGGGCAGGGACCCCTTCCATAGAGCAGCTTGCTTCAAGCCCCTGTGTCCAACCTGGCCTTGAACACTGCCAGGGATGGGGCAGCCACAGCTTCTCTGGGCACCCTGTGCCAGCGCCTCAGCACCCTCACAGGGAAGAACTTCCTCATATCCAATGTAAATCTCCCTTGCTTCAGTCTGAGAGAAAGATGTATTGGAGGTGGGATTTGGGGCTGCAAAAGCACCATGTCCCTCTGTCCATCCCTCATACACAAGTGCTTCTACATGAGCATCCTCCGGCCCTCCCTGAGGTTAATGGTGTTTGGGGGAGCAGCACCCAAGAGCCACAACCTTGCTGGTGGCTTGGTGGGTGCTGAGCACACAAAGGCACCCTCCACCCTTTTTCCCCTCACCCCCGCAACAAGAGCCTACAAGTGGGTGCAGATGGGGCACGGCGTTGCTCTCTGGGGCTACATCCAGATGGGGAAGGGGCGCTTGGGGTAGACCTGATGCACACGATGCTCACTGGAGCAGCTGCAAGCAGAAGGCTTGATCCTCTCCCCATTGCTTCAGCGCAGAGCTTTAGCCTCTGGGTGTCTATTTGTCACTCTCCAGCAGTGGCTGAGGGGGCATTTTTAGCCCAGCTTCCATTTCCTCCCCATAGACCACATGTGATGCCATGGGGCTTCAGAGCAGGGGGAGCAATGGAGCTGCCAGGCTTCAAGCCACTCACTTTTCCTCCATAGCCCTATTATTGGAGGCATTTCAAACTCCAGCATCCCCCTTCCTGAGGAGGATGCTTCTAAAGACCAATTTGGGCGCTGCCACGGCCTCCCAGGCAGCAGGAACAAGCTGCCAGGCCCCGACACACAAGGATCCTGTTGTGGCCAACAGTGCTGCTTCTTATAAAGACCTTGAGCAAACACAGCACACCGGGGAAGGTGTGTTAAAATTAACCCCTTGGCAGGGCCTACGGGTGCTGTGGGCAGCACAGGCTGGCTCCCTGCAGGCCTGTGGTGGTGGTGATGGACCACAGCCCATGAAGGGAAGGAGAAGGGGGGGTCCCAAGGATGCTGTGAAGCCCCATAGGCTCTCAAGGTCAGCCTTGCTCAGCTCTGCTGCTGCTGACCACACCGATGGCTGGCTTAGAATAGGAGATGTTGAGTTCTCTGCCAAATTTGGGGCTTTCTCTTCTGCCTCTTCCCCTGGGACTGCCCAGAAAACACTAAACAAGGCTGAGATTAAACAGACAAACACAGCAAGGTCTTATTCAGAGCCGGGATTGGGATTGACATCAACAGGAGGCGCTGGATAAGGCGACCAGGAGGAGACGTTGCCCTGAGCATGGTTGGTGCTGCTGGAAGGGGTTGTGCACTCACCCTGGTGTCCAAGAGAGCAGGTAA